AGTCAGACACGAACTCAATTACCGATAGACGATGTTTAAGGTCTTTGGGTCTACCCCTCTGCTCTCCTCTTCCTACACTTGGATTAGCTGGCACCCTACTGCCTCACCTTCCCTTTCCCCCTGTTATTGCCCATGGTCAGCTGGTCTCCTCCTTCCATCCATGGTATTGTACTGCCTCCTTGGAGTGGGTCTGGGGGGGGGCCCCTATCTTAGCGTGCTTCGGGCATTACTTCATGCTTGAATGAGTTGACTTACCCCTTGGGGCCCTACTTAGCTTGCTACTAACCATTATTTTGTTCTTTTAGGATTCCTCAGTGGGTTTTCCTAGCCCTTCCTGCTTTCTTCTTCTTAGTTACGATTTCCTTATTCGTCCACCTAGTGGGGCTTGGGTTTCTTTTCTTTGAGGCGAGATGTGCTGTTGGCTCCATACCAGAGGAGCTTGGGGGGGTTGGCTTTTTCCTGTGGCGAGTGGAGGGATATGGGTTTTTTGTCATCATAGATAGCGCTCTACCCATTTTTTGTACCCTAAACAAATAATGAATAAGTCAAACAAAAAAAAAAAAAAATTCCCTAGCTTTAAGTCTATCATCAGCGACCAAGAAGAGATCTTATCCACATATTCATTTTACTTTACTTCCATCTTTAGGAGCCTTCTTAACTATCTCTGAGACAGAAGATTACCGGGCCTAGTGCATACTCACTTGACCTCAGAGTTCCCTACCCTCTAACAATACTGTTGAAGAATTGCTGGTAGGTTGGACTCACACCATAGAAATGCATCATTTCTATGACCATCAACTGGACCAAAAAGATGGCTAATTAAACTATCAGAGGTCACAATAGCATGGTACTTAAGACAATGCTTCCTCTTCCAGCCATTATAGCAGGTGCATTATCGTCGGGAAGGACAGGCAATACCACAAATTGTTCTATCAATAAAGTCCCATACTGTCTGGATCGGTGCACTCTTTTTTGCTATTGGGGAAGCATATTAGGCTAACTTTTCTGAGGTCAATTATACAGGATCCTACTCTAAAATGTGTTTCTACTGCAAGTGGATAATCGATTCAGTAGTGGTACTAATATGAGATATACGCTCTGCAGACCACTCAAATTTCAGTGCAAGATCACTGAGCCAATTGGGATATGCTAATCGTACAAGTAGGATACAAATTGCTGTTCAGCTGTCTTCAGTAATTCCATTTTCCACTTGAATCACTTCAGGTAGCCTTAATGCTTCTACTAGCTGTTTGATTTCACTTCTTGTAAAACTTCATTTGTAAGTATCTAGTTTATTATTATATATTATTTTAACCTACTGAAATAGATTCAGCCACTCTTCTTTCTCCCATGTCTCCAAGTCAATCCTTCCTCCATCCAGTAGTGCTCCTCTCTTCCGACTGTTATCTCAGGCAACTGCAGCCTTTAAGTGTATCAAGGTAGCGAGTTGTCGTACATTTCACTGGTGTAGGAAATATGCAGAAAGCATGGTCAAAGCATGGTCACTGGTTTGGATTGTAGTTGAGTATACTCGAGTATGTTGTTTACTTGCTAATATTAAGATATAACGTCGGGGATGGCGATCTGACACATGGGTTTCTCTGCTACTTCCGGTCAGAAAAAAGTATTTATTCAACGATATCTCTCCCAATACATGTGTTACACACATGAATGCACAGACCTTCCCCGCGCACAGACCTTCTGAAAACCGCGAAGATTTCATAGCCAACACCCCCCTCCGGCCCCGCTGTTGGCCCTGTGTGCAGTTATAGTGTCGCCAGAGTTTGGTGTCCTGACAGTATAAACCAGTGAAAACGAAGCATGCTTCATAACACCATATACGTTGTCGCCATCGGTCCGACCGGAAGCTGTTCGCAGGATATATAAGAGGGGACCTCAGGCCATGTCTGAAAAGTAGAATGGAGTCAATCGGAGAGGTAACCGTGGAGCTACGAGCTAAGCAAGGTTGACCACCTCGGACAGGGACAGAAGGTGTTGGGACAAAATTGCCAACAGTCCAATGAGTTATCGGGATGTGCCCGTAAGGACAAGGCACGGAGCCCAGTCTAGTGCTCACACAGTGTAGAGCCAACCGGAGGCCTATCTGTGAATGAGGAACTTTCTCATGACATTGACTAGTCTGATCATAGCAGAAAGTCCTCAAAGTCAATACAGTCAAGTTGCGAAGACATCAAGGCATTTGATAAGACTCTCGACTGAGCTGATCACTCCAGTCAGAGTAAGGAGGATGGTGAGTTGGCTTGAGGTGAGACCACTCGCTCATACCTAAACCTCCGAGACGAAGGAATCCTGCGTTTTCGCCGGAGAGGTTTTGAACGCTCTCCCGGAAACACGAGAACGCATGGAGACCGTAGTCCGAGCAAGACGCATAGTTGGTCTGGGTTTAACGGAATCCCCGTACGATAGTAAGGGATAGGAATTAGGGACGGTACATTGTTTGGTGATAGATAGATGTAGCCCGCGACCACCCAGACGCGCAATATAAATATCGAGGTGCCTCCTTAGCTTTCAAAATCATCAGCAAATGGAGAAGAGATCTTATTAATATATTCGTTTTACTTTAATACATACTTTTGTTACAAGCTTTCTTGACCACTCTCCGAAAAACCTTATTGGCCCCAGTTACAATTTGTTCAACTTAGAATTGACTGCCGCTTAACAACATGTTTGTTTAAGAAACCAATACTAGTTATATGAATCCTGACTATGACAGAGTGTTACTGGGAGGAAAGTGGGTTTGTAAAAATTCTGAAAGTAAGTGAATTTGTAGAGTAGTAGAAAATAAAGAGGAGGGGGTATATGTATAAGAAATTGAGGATTTGAAAAGAGAGAGAAGTCCTATGGCTGCCAGGACCGAAGTTGCATATAGAGAGGGACATCAGGATGTAAGGATTTGGATGTGGCAAATATACTACTCGATCTGCGAGTATGATGGGGAGTTCAATGAGGCGTATTCCACTCATTATCGCTTAGCTGCTCAACCTCACTCTCATCAACCTCCGAATCAATAAACATAACCATTGGAGTATTGGATACAACTATTTTCTGAACTCTGATAGGTAGTGTATGTGAGAGAGGGGGGGCTTTGGTAGGTTTTCGCTTAGGAGTACTCCTTTTCCTAGAGACTGGGAGGTGGAGGGCCCTTTTGACATCCTTCGCAATACGAGCATTACGGAGACAAATGAGTTCAGCTCCATTAAGAACTCTGGCAACTGATAGCTGCCGCTTATCAGTTGTATTAAAGAGCTTGCTTATTCCCTGGAGGTGTCAATTGGACTCCTGATAGAGTTCCTTTTCTGCCATCTCAGATTCCAACTGGTGGCAAAATTCTTGTAGAATTCCAACCACCTGATCCCGTATTCCACCAAACTTTCTTAGATCCGGCTCCCTATCCCTCAAACTCATAAACCCAAGATCCAACAGCCGCTTTCCTGCCTTAACCTTCCCTCTAATATCCCATGCCATTTGAGGATTTCTAGTAACCCCAATGGCAGTAAGCTGCTTTATTGCTGGTGGTGCTAGTTTACCGAGAACCCGGCGGGGATTCAGCGGCCAAATGCCAGTTGTGGTGAAAGCTTGCTGGATACTATACGAGGTCATAGTCTTCGTGCGTGCCTCAGTCAAAAAAGGTATAAAGACTGCCTTCTTTATTCCTTCCTGACTCTGGCCTGACCGGATATGGTTATCGACTGCTAATCCCTAAAAATGTTGATAGGGGGAAAATAAACCAACATCTAATGGCTGTAGGAGGTGGGTTGAGTGGGCGGGCAAGCAGAGAAGATGGATACTACTCTCAATGCAATACTGAATGAATTCGAAGCTGATATGTGAACCATGACCATCTAGAATAAGAAGGCGAGGTTGATTCACTCCAGCAATCATTGCTGATTCTAGATCAAACAAGTCACGTAACCACTCCATGGCCAACTCATTATCAGTCCAGCCTTTAGTGGAGTAGCTGAAGTGATAGGTACGCTCGGCTTCGGTAAGCTTCCGGTACCACCCTAGGTAGTGCCCCTTTCCTTTGTTGATAATAAACAGAGCCAATACAATTCCAGTTCCAGATACAGTCTCAATCACAGAGACTAGTTCTCTTTTTCCATCATGCGTAACAGGTGGATTATATCTACCTCGTCGACAGATCACTTTCGCCCTTGCAGCCTGCCCCATCAAGAAGCCCTTTTCATCCATATTGAATATTTGTGCTTCTTTGAGGCCATAACAGTGGATAAGACGCCCTAACTTCCCAAAATAGTCTTGCAAGAGGTGAGGATCTTTGGCATAAGCCCGCTGTCGCTCAAGGTTACAACTGAGTTTGGAGGCAAGGGTTAGATGGCGGTTGAGGAATCGACTTATCTACTTCTGCCCCAATGGTGCACCAAGTATACCCGTTCGCTTCCGTTCAAGATGAATAGCCATACTGCGAACCATATCTAACCTGGGGGGAAACCCTCGATCATCCTGCTCCCTAAACCATTTAACAATGGCTAACTCCTCTGCTGGTGTTAGGCGCTGTTGTTCTTGGTGTAATATGACTCGGCTCTCATGGGTTCCTGTGATCTGCCTATAAAGTGTTTGCTTGTTAACTTCATATTCTTCTGCAGCTTCCGCTACAGATATTGGATTGTCGGCCTGCTTGAGGGCCTTGAGGGCTCGCTGGAGACGTTCATCATAATCCGATCCTTTGCGCTGGTTAACCCGACCCATATTGTTCGTTTCTTTAACTTTTGTTGATCTTTTCGCGTGGGAGCGGGGTTACCTCCTCAAGACACCTGTGTCTCATATTACGCAAAAGTGATGTGACATATCCCTGTCTTGTGTCACATCACCATCTCTTACGTTATGAGACTTCTATGATGTATTCATTCTGTCGTCATCCATTATCTTACCACCTGCACCTGCAGTGCAAACTTATCTTTCCACCTAGGTCTATTTTCTGCTAATAGCCATCTAGGTCTCCTTGCGCAAACCCTCTAATACTCCCTTGGCAGGCGATAGACCGGGCAAACACAGATCACGCTCTCATAAACCATATCCGAGTGACGGGTGTGATCTCGCAAGCCTACCCAGTACCAGTATTAAGCAACCTCAAACCTCGCGGTTACGTCATCAGTACTCCACCGGTCAACACTATCCTAGACGACTCTTGCGGCAAATAGTCTATATGCTTTAATGAGCCAACAACCCACACCAGGCACCAGTTCTCATGCCCCAAATCCCCTCCAGTTTTTCTCCAAGACAGACCAGACCGTTCAGGAGAAGTAACTCGACCTACTACCCTTTTTGCCTAAACTTTTGCTTCCCAAAGAAATAACTTATAAACAAATAAAGGAGAGGCACCTTTCGATATGCCACCAATCCCAGTACCTACTCCGCGGGAGCTTCTACAGAGAGCGAAGATGTTCATTCCTCCGCTGCTGGATAAGATGCACAAAGGTTCGTGTCCTTGCCCTCCTAATAGACCATGATCAATTCAACTCAACCAAAATCGACAACCCACAGGACAGCAAGGCCGTGTAGCAGTCATTGGGGGCTGCGAAGAGTCCCCCCCCCCGACCTCCATCCCAAACCCCAAAACTAACAACAGCCAGTTACACCGGCGCGCCTTACTTCTCAGCAAATGCCTCCGCGTTACTAGGTACTCTACCAACCCTCCTCCATCTTCTCCAAACCTCCCCCCGCCTCCCACACACAAAATGCTAACTTGCACCCAAGGAGCCGACATGTCCCACGTTATCTGCGAACCGCAGGCGGCTCAAGTACCTGCCCCCCAACCCCAAACAACAGCACGCAATCCTAATAAACTAGGTTATAAAAACCTATTCTCCAAATATAATGGTCCATCCCTACATGCGCCAATCCCACCACACTCAGGAGGGCATGCAATCAGCGGAAGAAATATCCCAGAAGACGATCGACTTACTCGAGCGCCTACACGCAATTGTCATAGGGCCCGGACTCGGTCGCGACGCTCTAATGCAGGATACAGCCGCAAAAATAATTGAAGCGGCGAAAGCGAGGAATATGCCCATGGTTGTAGATGCGGTATAGCTCCCACCAACCCGCCACAAAGCTCAACGGGCAATCACATACTGATGATGACGATAACAGGACGGGTTATTCTTGGTGCAAAACAGACCGTCCATTATCAAAGGCTATACCAAAGCAATCCTAACCCCCAATAGGGCCGAATTCGCACGCCTGTGTGCAGCCATGAAGGTGGACCCTCAAGGTTGTGATGAGGCAGAGGTTTGTGCGAAACTAGCTAGAGCCTTCGGCGGTGTGACTATCATACAAAAAGGGCCCAAGGACCACATTTCCAATGGAAAACAGACCTTTGTATGTGACCTTGAAGGTGGTTTAAAGAGGAGTGGTGGGCAGGGTGACACCCTCACTGGAAGCCTGGTGACGTTTCTGGCTTGGACGAGGGCTTACCGGGACAGGATTTGGAAGTGAGTTTTTAGTTTTTCCATACCATCCGGAAACTAGCTTATCAAGGAGGGGCACTGACGAAGTCGGATACTCCAGCCACGACAACTCACTTTCGGATTCGGAACTGAACTCGCTATCGGCATTTGGAGCAGCTGCCGTAACACGGTATTGTTCACGTGTGGCGTACGAGAAGAAAGGCAGGGCACTACAGGCGAGTGATCTGTCGGTTGAACTAGGCAATGCTTTCAATTACCTGTTTGAAACTGAAAACCCAAAACTCTAATACCCACCATGGCTATCACGTATACCGCCCCTAACCCAACATCTCTTATATACATGATACAACCTCGCAAAATCATCATCCACCAGTAAGCTTCCAAAAAAAAAAAAAACTCGTTTCAATAGAACCGTGACATCCAACCCAACCCCGACTCGATCACAACAGGGTACTACGTGGGGTAGTCCTGGCTACCGCCTTGCACCACGATCCGGGGGAGGGAGGTCCTCGGGACCAAACGACATGGGCAGCAACTATAATGTCCACAAGTCAGCCATCACTCCCACACGTAAAATATAAAAGCCCCATATTATACCTCCCCCAAAGTCCTGACAACACAGTCTCCTTCCTCCTTCCCATACATAAAAATCGGCACGCAATCATCCGAAAACTCCCGTATGAATTGCCGGCACATTCCTTCGCAGACCGCCCGCCGAAGGCGAATCAGCCCCAACAAACATTTCCCCGGAGCAATCACAAACAACGAAGGAAGGATAACAAACCACACGGTGATGCCGGCGGCGAAATATCAGTCGAGACGCCAATTGCGCGGAACTTCTTCTTTCCCTCCGTCTATGCAGCCTTAGCCACCTGCCCGGGGGGGGGGGGAAGAGGTCAAACAAACAATAGCTTTAACCAGGGCCGTCCGCTCAGCACATATGGTCACGGGATACGACACGTTCTCAATATTCGCGCCGATAACCCAGGACCCGTCCTCGCAGAGGAGAGCACAGCCGACACGGAAATTTGAGTATGGGCCTTTGCTCCGTCGTCAGTTGCGGGAGTGGAAAGGGGGCCGGGGGGGGCTTAAGTACAATATGAAACGTCCTTTGCGGCTGCGGCTCTTCTAGAGAGCTCTTGGAGTTCTTCAGGTGTTAAGCCATGGGTTTGGGTCATTTTTTTTCCTCTTGCGTTCCTCCTCGGGGGGGAGGGTTGACAGATGGATGTTCGGTATTGCGGAGTAGGGAGAGAGGGGGGTAATGTGGGGTGTTATGGTGCCAGGCGTCTATTACATGAACCACTGGCATTGCACAATGTAATACCTTATGTAATCAGGGTTAGGGTCATTATTCAATGAGCTATGGTTTCCTATTGTGTTTCTATGTTCAAGTCCAGTCTAATACAATTCTCAATATATTCTTTCTCATTCTGTAAATTATATCTATTTTTCTCAATCACTTCTCTATGCCCTTCTTTACCTATCACTATAATGGATATCCCAACTTTGTTTAAGTCAGAGGCACCTGGCAGGAGTCACCTGACCGTGATTACATAAGGTACTGCGTTGTGCAACACCAGTGGTTCACAATAGACGCCTGGCACCATATGTAGACCGTGGGATCAAGAGATAGTTGGCGGGTATCACCGGTTGCTGTAGTTCCAGGATGATTGTCCTGTGTTGTGCAGTGCCGTGGGGTAGACGGCCGAAAGAGTCCTGGGAATTCACGTTGCTCACACGACAGCTATTTATTGGCGCCCAGATCTTAGACGAAACACTGAGTTTCGGCGGTATACAAAAACAGGGGTGCCCCCAAACGCCGTTCAACTGTGAGTAGCGTAAGGTACACAGTACCTACTGTACCCCGAGTGCTCCGGTAATAGCCTGCTCACCAAGGACGCTTACCGTATCCGCCGCGAGGAGCATATTGGGATTCTGGCCAGGTGTGTGTGGTCTCACATCCTTATTTGCACAATCACATGGCGTCACTCGAGTCTACTATTTTCCCTTATGTTGAAACATGCTTCTGACACTACCAGTAACAGGTATTGTGGTATCATTCAGAATTACTTTTTCTTCTTACATCAATCGTACCCCAGGCACACATGGTAGTAGGCCTCCAGTACTATTGAAAATACCGCCTTGAATTTCTATTTACTTTTCTTTCTTCTGCTATTGTTACTGTTCACTCAACCTAATTGTCTTACTCATAATAGTAGACAGTAAGAGCTTCTCGCTCTTCCTTGCTAGAGAATCAAGCATTTGTTATTCTCTATCATACAATCTGCTTTGCCATGCAAAACACTTCTTACAATACTTTCACAATACATTAGGGGGTTGGCCTTCGGGGGAAGTAGGAAATTATATCGTACCAATTAGAACCAACATGCTCCACACCAACTCTACTGCTGATATCCCACCCCACTATGTACTTGAGTCCACTTCTTCTATACTTTCCCGCTCCCATCCTACCATCATACTACTTGAAACATCTAGTCCCACCTCTGAACACAGTACTTGAATACTCATATGAGTAGAGGTACGTGGACTGCAGATCACTTTTAATCTACTCAAACCTAGAACCCAATCACCCATACCATTACATGATAATACAATGTGAATCTAATATGTACTATAAGCTTTTATCTGATTGTACGGTACAAGACTGTAACGGACAGGATCGGAGGGTCGGGTAGCCTAAGGCACACCACGATCAGGACAGGCAGGATTCTGGAGATGAGGTCTAGGTGCAGGGGCACAACCGAAGCGAGTTGTACGAGGTTCGGGATTCAGGAGTTCAGGGTTAGGGTTCAGGGGTTCAAGAGGATGCTAGATAGTAGAGAGGGTAATTCGTAGGTACAGGTGTCCAAATTCAATCTAAGTTTATTTATACTCATCGCGCCAAAAGATAGCATATGATCGAGGCGCCCCCCTGACAGGAGCTGAACGCTGGCCAGGATCAACCGCTGGGACTGGGGTCCTGCTACCCCTGCTAAAAACAGGAAACTAAATACAAGATACCGATCCTCTGTTCCCGTACTGTTAACCACTCCGGCGAGCGAGCACCAACACCAAAGCTAAAGTACAAGTCCATCAATAGTTCAGCACCCATTCGCTCCACCTAGCCAGGCCACGAAAATCCTAGCACAATCAATAAATCACTACAACTGGCAGTATTGCTCCAGCCTCGCGCCTCATTCCTCATAACATTATAACAAAAAAAAGTCTAGCAATATCAATCCCACCCGGCCCCCAAGAAAGCGTTCTAGTACTGTCCCTGAAAAAGGCCATGACAGAGGGGCAGTACGAAGCCAGTTTCCTCTAAGCAATCAGTTGAGACAAGTGTTAAGAATCCTACCAAGTAGGACCTAGCCACAGGTAACGATACTTCTCTTAATGTAAGGTGATAGTTCTTAGGCCTGTACCTACGTGATCCCGATAGTCTAGTCCTTTGACTACTATCGTATTCGCGCCTATCTTCTTATTCTTCTTCTTAGTTCTTGCTTAGGACTTAATCTCTTCTTGTAGCAGGAAAGACACTTCTCGGTTTTCTTAAGATAAATCTTAAAGAGCGTAAAGGTAGGTTTTATTGATAATAACTTAAAGGTAGAAAATAAACAAGAAGAATGTGTGAAGAGCTCATACTCAAGGTCCTATTGACTTCTTTATATAGTAGCTCTTCACCTGGCGTGACTCATACCTCGTGTCATGTGAACCCTGTGACTCATAATCATGAGTTATACGAAATCCATTAGACGACTCCTATGAGTCGCTGCGCAACATGCCTAAAACCAATCAAAACCAAATAACCAAGTCAGTTGCGCAACTCGCATCACCTGAGTGAAACCCATGACTCATAAGTTGAGTCACGTGCGAAAATCATAACATCGTGTGACTCACAACTGTGAGTCACGAACAAATAAACATAATAACCTACGGCGCACTAGTGTGCGTCATGTCAAATTCCAACATACCTATAACTCGGAAATCCGAGCTATGTGAAATCTGCCTTGCTTAGTTACAGTTTGTGAAAGCAAGCCTAACAGCCATACCCCTTGCACCGTAATAGCCAATCTGAGACACACCAAGGGCATCATTGTTATAGATATCCCACCCTATGTCAAACCAACCATATCCACCTCTTCTTCATGTTCCTCCAAGGCCTCAGATTTGTAGGTATCTGGACGGGGGGTGAGAAGGGCAAATAGGTGAGTGGGATTCATGTGGGCCATCACAGTTCACATACTTGAGTGTGGCATGGCTGCAAGGACAGCCGTGAAGACAGCAGGTAGCAGTAGGGCAGGAGTAATTCCCAGTAGGGTGAGGGAGGAGGCACCAGTGGCAGGAAGGAGGCAGGATGCACTTGAGGCTGTGGTGGCCAAACGTATGACAGTTGGCACACTGGGTGGATTTGTTGAAGCATAAATGGCGTTCGGTATGGTAGGTGTTAGAAATGGCAGAGAGGGGTTTGCCAACAAAAGAAGGAGCTTTGGGTCCTATGAGGGAAATAACAATGGTTGAGGCAAGTTTGCCAATGCGTGCTATATCTGAGGTAAGCCACCTAGGCTGTTCGGTAAGAGATAAGCCTGAGTTAAAGGTGATGAGTTCTTGGGCAAGCGATGCTAGAGGGGTGGAGGTAGCGATGCCATGTACCAGAAGCTGGGTGGCAGGAGTGTCAAGGTAGATGGTAGAGGCACTAGGAGTGAGGTGCAAAAAGGTGCCAACTTTACTGTGGACAGTGGTCGCTCTAACCGTGTCCATAGTGGTGAGGGTAACGTATCCATCTAAGAAGAAGACAGACTGGATGAGAGTGGAGGCTAGGGCCTGGTTGATGCTGTCGCGTAGCAGTACAGCAGTAGAGGTGAGGGGGGCAGCGTCTCTTTTGATAATGAGCCGAGGCTTGTGCATGGTGAGGCCCTTTTTCTTGTCGGTAAGGGGCTTAACCGAGGAAGAGGGGGGTTTGGCTGGCTTGGAGCTAGGCTTTGTGGATTTTTGACAAGGATTCCTAGTCCTCCTAGTGAGGGTAGCCTAAGAAGGGGGAGCTGCTGGGGCAGGAGGTAGGGTTTGGGGAAGGGTGGAAGGTGGGGGAGGGACAGAGGGCTGCTCTGTAGTATCGGTAGTAGGAGGTGCCGGCAGGGCAGTGGTAGAAGCAGGCTGAGATAGAGTGGAGGTGCGGAGGGCATCCAACTCCTCAGTGAGGCGGGTGATGTGCTTGGTTAGCCCATCAGTGGCCTTTCTGTAGTCTTCGTGCAAAATTTGCCTCATGTGGATTAGGACGGGAAAGGCTTTTCCAAAAGTAATGGGTGATTCAATCTTTTAGACCTCTGCCAACTCTTCAAATATATGCATAAAGGCACCGTTAGGACCTTCATAGTCGTCTGCAGAGTATCGTATACTTGAGGTGGTACCACTGCGTAGTCGTTTAAGCGAGGCGGGGCCCTCAGGCTGAAAGAGAGGTAATGGCCAAACCTGCAAAGCCCCAGCAGGCTGTGTAGGAGGTGGCGGAATGAGAGGGGGTGATGACCCTATGATGAAGGTGATGAGGAGAAAGTTTGACCCCAGTTGGGTCAAAGAGAAGGTATCATGATGGATAAGATAATTCTCTGGAAGGTAAGAAAGGGTGTCCGAATAATATCGAAGTTTATTTATAGTCGTCGCGCCAAAATATGGCTTATGCTTGAGCGCCCCCCCAACAGGAGCTTAACGCCGGCAGGGATCCACCGCTGGGACTGGGGCCCTGCTACCCCCACTAAACAAAGGCAACTAAACACAAGATACCAATCCTCCATTCCCGTACCGTTAACCACTCCAGTGAGCGAGCACCAACACCAAAGCTAAAGCACAAGTTCATCAACAGTTCAGCACCCATCCGCTCTAGCTAGCCCGGCCACGGAAATCCCAGTACAATCAATAAATCACTACCACAGGCAGCATTGCCCCAGCCTCGCACCTAAACTCCTCATAATATCATAACAAAGGAAATCCACCAAAATCACCCCCCACCCTGCACCCAGGAAAACGTTCCAGTACTGTCCCTTAATAGGGCCATGACAAAGGGGCGGTACAAAGTCAATTTCCCCTAAGCAATCAGTCAAGATAGGCCTTAACAGCCACACCCCTTGAGCCATAATAGCCACACCCGAGACACCCCTAGGGTATTGTCATTATAGGTATCCCAACCTATGTAGAGTCATCCATGTCCACCTCTTCTTCATGTTCCTCCGAGGCCTCAGATTCTTGGATATCTGGATGGGGGCGAGAAGGGTAAACAGGTGAGTAGGATTCATGTGAGCCATCACAGTTCACACACCTGGGTGTGGTATGACTGCAGAGGTAGCCGCGAAGATGACAGGTGGTAGTGGGGCAGGAGTGATCCCCAGTAGAGTGAGGGAGGAGGCACTAGCAGCAGGAACGAGGCAGGATACATTTGATGCTGTGGTGGCCAAACTTGTGACAATTGGCACACTGGGTCTATTTGTTAAAGCGTAAATGGCATTCGGTATAGTAGGTGTTGGAAAAAGAAGAGAGGCGTGTGCCAACAAAAGAAGGAGCCTTGGGTCCAGTGATGGAAATAACAACCGTTGAGGCAAGTTTGCTGATGCGTGCTATATCTAAGGTAAGCCACCTAGGCTGTTTAATAAGAGATAAGCCTGAGTTAAAGGTAGTGAGTTCTTGGGCAAGAGATGCTAGAGGGGTGGAGGTAGCGATGCTATGTACC